TCAAATACTAAGAAGGGCAGAACAAAGGACAGGAATTAAAACTCACACCAAAATGCACGCACTGTACTCATATACCCATAAAGCACTCAGAGAAGGCAACCTCCAAGAAAATGAAAGACAGACATCTAGAGGGATAACAATGGTTGGCTAAAATCTATGAGGAAAGGATGGGGAGGGCGAAACAGGGAAGAAGAGTAAAGTAAAAGAAGCGGATAGTAATATACTAATAAAAGGCATATAAATCCTTTTTTTTTGCTGTTTTTGGCCGGGGCCAGGTTTGAACCCACCAACGCCAGTATATGGGGCTGGCACCCTACTCCTTGAGCCATAGGCACTGCCTGGTATATAAGTCTTAAAGACAAAGAATTTTTTTTTTTTTTGAGACAGAGCCTCAAGCTGTCCCCCTGGGTAGAGTGCCGTGGCATTACAGCTCATAGCAACCTCCAACTCCTGGGCTCAAGCGAGTCTCCTGCCTCCGCCTCCCAAGTAGCTGGGACCACAGGCGCCCGCCACAACGCCTGGCTATTTTTTGGTTGCAGCCGTCATTGTTGTTTGGCGGGTCGGGGGTGGGGATTCGAACCCGCCACCTTAGGTGTATGTGGCTGGCGCCTTAGCCGGTTGAGCTATGGGCGCCGAGCCAAAGACAAAGAATTTACTGAGAAAAATTCAGCTGAATTTTCTTAAGTACAGTGTTGGAAGCCCTATTATTACTGAAAATAACTGTTTAAAAAGAGGAAAACCACTATTAGGTAACATTCTTCATGCTTCAAGGATGCACTCTCCAATTCTGGATTTCTGCCAGTTGAGCCTCTAACAGAAAGGCCCTCTACAGCTCAGGTGTTTTCTAATTAAGCTGAAGTTCTTTAGCTCCCTCTACTGTTTAAACATGTACTTTAGTCACCAAAATAAATAACAAATATATACATACACGTATATTCATACATACATATTCACCTCAGATCTGGCACAGAGTTTAAACACACTTTTATCTATCAAGAGTTCAATGGCTGGGACCAAAAACGCCAGTATCACCAAAAACAGATTCTATTATCCCTACCACCCAATCAAAAAGATTCAAAGTACACCTGCGTTTCTTTGCCAAAAGAAATAAGGTTTTAGTATGGGACAAAGACGTGTATTTGTTAACTGAACTGTGATAATAGCTTTATAGGCAGAAATATATATGCATCAGTTTTCCACATATCAGAAACGAAAGCATTGCTAAGTTTCTTCTGTTTCTGCTGGCTCAAAGGGGTAGGGCACTGGTCCCATATGCTAGAGGTGGTGGGTTCAAACCCAGCCCCGGCCAAAAAACTGCAAAAAAAAAAAAGAAAAAAGAAAAAAAGAAAAAGAAAATGTATCCAGACTAGGCACACTGGCTCAAACTTACAATCTTAGCAATCAAGGAGGCCAAGGCAGGAGGATCACTTGAGCTCAGGAGCTTGAGACCAGCTTGAGTAAGAGTGAGACCCTGTCTTACTAAAAATAGAAAAAAAAAATTTTTTTTTTTTTGAGACGGCGCCTCAAGCTATCCCCCTGGGTAGAGTGCCATGGCATCACGCTCACAGCAACCTCCAACTCCTGGGCTCAAGTGAGTCTCCTGCCTCAGCCTCCC